GACAAGCCATCTCATCATCTCAGCTATGGACAGATCTCTAAGAACAATATCACAGTAGCACAATTTTAGGTAGTACTGTTCCACTTAAACACAACTGGTTTGTGCTGTGTTGAAAATGGAGCTTTTGCCCTGGCTGTGGCACAGCTGGAGAGGATAGGGAACAGCAGAGAGTTGCAGAAAGCAGGAGTAAACTGAGGAGAGGACTGGGACAGAACCAGAGCTCAGCGTGAGGTAACAATTGTTAAATGAAACCCAAATAGCTTGCTAAACTTTTACCTCAGCAATCAATTTAAGTCATTGTCTGGAAATGGAAAGGGAGTAGAGTGGGAGGGAGGAAGGTATAAAAGAAAGAAGAAAAAAGGCAAGTCTCTTCCTCCGTGGTTCCTGAGACCTTAACGGAGTCTTTTCTGCAGCCAAAAATTCAGGGACATGGCATTTACTACACCGGACCTAGGACCAGTCTGATAGCCTACATTAGAAAAGGACTAATTCTAAATGTTTTGTAGAAAGGCAATAGAGGATTAGGTTGTATCTCCAAAGGTCTCATTTTCTCTCCACAAATCTCTGTAGCAAAGCTATTTTCATTACTTAAAGCTAACATCCTCCCAGAAAAACAGAGAGGTTAAAAACTAAGATGGTAATAGCCAATGGTGTGAAGCAAGGCTGCGTTCTTGCACCAACTCTATTCACAGTCTTCTTCAGCATGATGCTCCAAAGGGCCACGGTAGACCTCGATGATGAAAACGGTGTCTACATTCGATATTGTACCGATGTGAGCCTATTCAACCTAAGGTGACTGAAGACCCACACTAAGACCTTAAACTGTCTTGTCCGTGAGCTGCTTTACGCTGATGATGCCGCCCTCGTCGCCCACACAGAAGTAGCTCTGCAGCGCCTAACATCCTGCTTTGCAGAGGCTGCTGAGGTCTTTGGACTGGAAGTCAGCTTGAAGAAAACAGAAGTTTTATATCAGCCTGCACCTCAGGAAGTCTCCCATCATCCCCATATCACCATTGGTGAAACAGAACTCAAATCAGTCCAGCAGTTTAGTTACCTGGGTAGCATCATCTCCTCAGACGGTAAGATTGATGCAGAAATAGACAACAGGTTAGCAAAGGCATACAGAGCTTTCGGTAAACTCCATAAAAGAGTGTGGCAAAACAAACACCTGAAGAAAAGTACAAAGATCAGTGTTTACAGAGCTGTTGTACTGTCTACTCTTTTGTATGGGTCCGAATCATGGGTCATTTACCGGCACCACTTGCGTCTCTTAGAACGCTTCCATCAGCGCTGCCTCTGTACAATCCTAAACATCCACTGGACTGACTATGTGACCAACATGTCTGTCCTTGAACAGGCAGCAGTCACGAGCATTGAGGCCATGCTGCTGAGAACACAGCTGCGCTGGGCAGGGCACGTCTCCAGGATGCAGGACTGCTGCCTCCCTAAGATCGTGCTCTATGGGGAACTTGCCACTGGCTGCCGCAAGAGAGGAGCCCCGAAGAGGAGGTACAAGGACTGCCTGAAACAATCCCTCACCCTTGGCCATATTGATCACCACCATTGGTCTACCCTGGCCTCCAGTCGGGAGGCCTGGAGACAGACACAGCATCTATAACGCTGCTGCTGCTTTTGAGAACACACGCAGGATCACTCTCGAGGAGAAAAGACAACGCAGAAAGAATCGCGTCTCGTCTGTATCACCTGGGGAGTCCTTCTGCTGTGCCTTCTGCAACCGGACTTGTCTATCTCGCATTGGCCTTTTTAGCCACCAGCGCGCTTGTAGCAAGCATGGGTAGAGCCCTTCTCAAATCTTCGTTCGCGAAGCCTAGCCATGATGATGATGATGAATATAAATTGGATTTTTATGCTGGGATTGCAACATGTATCAGAGTCATTATCAGCCTTTTTTAAGAGTGCTGATAATTTTCAGATAATGTACAATTATATGAACTGTGCCAGGAAAAACAAATCATTAAAAAATTAGTAATATGACTGCTGATAGGACTGAATACTCCACCATTCTGAAAAAGGGACATATGTTTCTCTTTAACATCCAGTCCTGTGAGCTAGTGGAGTGGTTAACAATGTCCATGTCACAACATTTTTTCAAACTCACTATAATTTTCTGTCATCCCATGGAGAGTTTCCCATGATGTCTTGGACGAATGCTCAGCCTGGTGCACTATTGTTTTATTCAGGCAGCATGTGAAAACATCTGTCTGAAGCTCCACTGTCATTTTTCAGTACCTACTTTTCTTGGAATATATTCTTATGTCTTTTGGAGTAGAAAATATGGGATTATCAATTCCTGAAAAGCATGATTTTAGAAAGCCAAAATCAGAGAGGTAGTCCAAAAATCTGTTAATAAAAGCCCCTGACCATTCTGCAAGAGAAAGAGGATGCAAAGCCTGATGGGTAATTTGTCAGCTAGAGGAATCCTGTTGAACCTCTGTTTAGGTTCTTGACTGGTAGGTTTTCCAAGGAAAGGATGCTCAGAGAAGCTCATTGACATTAATACAAGGCCCAATATCTTTAGAACAAATGCACTATGTCAGCAAAAAGCATCATTAACAGCGTTTTATATTCTTTAGCTTCAGTGATGGAGCAGAGAGTCCTTTGTACAACTGTCACCTGGGACAGATTAATCACAGATGTCCTTTGGATATTCAGCATATGTTGAGAACAGCCATGCTTCTATCCATGAGCACACACCCCTAAGACCGCATATTTCACATTCCACTGATATTTGCAAAAATGTTGCAGACACTGCATGTGACATCATGGCCTTGACAAAAATTCGTAGGGAAATGATATTTCCATCTGACAAAGCTGTTCCTCTGCAGAAAAAAAAAATGCCAAGACAAAGCTGCAGGCCTATTTTCCAAGTGTTTCCTAAGGCTAGCTTTCAGGTACAGTTGGGAAAGAGAGAGATGTTCCTGATTCTGAACATTTAAAATTGTTTTCTGACTACTTACTTCAACTTTATCCAAGAGCTTCTTTATGGCTATAACCAGTCTACAAGAGAAACATAAGGAGAAAGGAATGAAATCTTGATCGTTTTCCCTGGTAACTTCATACTTTAAATATGGTTGTCTCATAAGAAAATGTGAGCTATTTTTCTAAATTTTCTTTGCCATGGTGCCATTTTTTCAGGTAAATAAAAATCCCATGACTCTTTGTAGTTCTCTGGATTCTCTGTTTTGGACCATTACATCAAGTTTCTAGATTAAGTTTTTAGTTCCAGGTATTCTTCAATTCATAATGCATCTAGTTCTGCTTCTGCTCTATATCTTCGTTCCTGTTTTATTATATGTTAGAACCCCAGATTCTGAAGTAACTGGGCACTGGAAGACAGTAAACATTGTTTAATACCTGATTTTTAACTCAAGTTAATAAATAAATCAAATATTAAAGATTACATTTTAACTGGTAGAAAAACAAATAGTTTCACTGAGAATAGCCCTGGACTAATGTTAAGTGCAACCATGAATGTTTGTAAACCTTTCGTACCTGACCTCCCTTCAAACTAGAAGACCCACAGACTCTCTGTTTGACTCTTCAACTGATCCACCTATCTGCATCAATCTCTTTTATACTGACACACCTGAGATATTTTGTGTGTATGCTTTTTTGTCTGTTTAACAGGATAAATCAAAGCCTATCTTAAATAACATCTCTGCCCTTATTCACTTGGCACGTAGAGATGCTAAAATGTCACATGTTCTTTTAATGGTAGGGGTGCTAAAGAACATCTGACACTATGATATCAAGTTAAACAAGAGTAGGTAAGGGTTTTTCCATCCCTGGAAGATTCTGAAATTTCAAAACATTGAGTAGAGTGCAGTGGGAGGGCCCAGTTCACAAAGTTTCATGAAAAACAAAGCCTTCCAGAATAAAGTTGCAATTCCAGAATTTGACTTTTTGATAGATGCACAAGAATATACTCAGGTATGGATTCTACAAAACTGTTGAGGTGAAAGAGAAGAACACTGGAACAATTGATTCTTCCCACTTCTCTCCAGTGCAGTTTTGTTTGTTTGGTTTTGTGCTGATGTTGAAAGCTGTCAGATTGAAACAAGCAAAAAAAAAAATGCCAAACAAACAAACCAAACCAAAGTCAAACACTGAAACAAATTAGGGCAAAAAGGTCTGCATTGTAAAGCAAGAAGGTTTTCATTGTTTTAAATCTGAGAGAGAAAACTAAATGACCCAAAATGTATTTTAATGCCTTAAGCTTTTCTAACAAAAGAATCCACGCTCTAGAAGACTTAGTTTAGAACATAAATCTTTCTGAAAAAGGTGAAATAGTTTTCTACCAACTGATATTTTGAGGGCAAACTGTAAATGACCTTTGGAGCCTTAGTCAGCACCAAACCATTCAACACAGCAAGGACAAGCCAGCACCTGCAGTCCTCTCAGTCAGCTCTTCCTGTGACCACTTCTAAACTGACCTGCAGCTGTAGGCTGGAGTCTTTTTTCATCCCCAAAGCATAAAGATACAAGATCTGATAAACACCCATCCAACATACATGCCTGCGAAAATCACAGTATGGGGGGAAGGGAGAAGAGGACAACTACTGATATGTCACTGCTGGAGCCCCAGCTTTGTTAGGTACTATTTATGTACTCCTGAAAAGACCGATTTATATCTGGTGCCATAAATACAGGTAGTGAATGCACATGCACACAGAAAAAAAAGGATTTTCCTCCTAAATCACGTCTCTCATCTTTGGTCCAAATGTTAACACTAAATTGCAGCATTAAGTCTTTACTTTAGAATGAATCATACAAGAAAAAAAAAAAAAAAGAGAAAGAAAAGCAAGCGAAACGAAAAAAACCCAAACAAACTATTTTACTGTGAGGGTAGTCATACAAATGGACAGGCGTCCAGAGAAGCTGTGAAACCTTCATCCTTGGACTTCTTCAAAACATACCTGGATATAGCCTTGGGCATCCTGCACTGGAAGACCCTGCTTTGAACAAAGGATTGGTATGCAGCCCTTATCTGAAACAGATGCTTCAGGTATTCATTATCTTGTAGGATCAAGGCTTTTGATCTTCATTTTGCAATTGTGTTTCCTAAAATAAATGTAGAAGATAGATAGACTCATTTTCTTCCTCTGCTTTCTTTGCTGATGATAGTAACTTAGAAAGAAGTACTCCTGACAAACCTGAATGGAAAATACACATGCTGTGCACAAGGAACTATCAACAGTATTTCAAACATATATTGTTGGTAGAAAACAGGATAATTTGAGAACTAGTAATGGTTTTCCTTGATCAGGTATGGGGGAAAAAGGTAAAATTTTATGACAGACTACTGACTAAAGATTCCTGTTTTAAGCCAGCTTAAGTATTAAGCTTTGGTATCCATTGAAGCAGGAGTCAAATAAGAGAATGCAATTAAATGAAAAACTAAACCAAAGTGCACATGCCTCAGGTTAACTACTGGACCACTTTCAACTAATTCCACCTACTTGATTAGGATTAACATTGTGGTCTTTGTGCTCTATTTATTTCTTGGGATTTTTGATTTTTTTCTGTGTTCTGTTATATTTATTAGGACCATGAGCAATCCTTCTCCTGTCCTGAAGGATGCTGCTGACTTTCCACCAAATATTTAATAAAGCCAAACCAGAGAAAAGAGAATGTGCCAAATGTATATACTGCTGTACAGTCTATTTCTGAGGAACTGTGCTACTTAAATGTGAGAGTTAAGCTCTTTTTTATCATGCACATTCCAAGTTTTCTCATATGAACATGAAACTGTTGGAAAGGCATTGGGCACACTTACAAGTACCTACAGATCTGTCATGCATTCTGTCTCTCCAGTGTTCTTATATCAATTTAAAGCAGCACTTGCTTTCACTGCATTTCAAAGAAATCATCACAAGCTTAGTCTCTTCCAGATTTCTATCTCTAATTTGGAACACTGGAGGACTTGTTACCCTTTCGGTTTTCCAGACAATTCCTTAAAAGCTGCATTAATCTGAGAAGATGCAGAATGATCCTAGTAATAATTGCATGGTTTGCCTCTTTAATAGGTACGATAGAGAAACCTATAACCTTCAACACTTTTCATACCTTTGACCATTGAGCAAATAGTAAGATCCGTTTCGCTTTACCCCCTATAATGTTGGATACCTTAGTGCTATATCAATGAAGCTTGAAGTAATAGAGTCTTTTAGAAAGCCAGAGCTCTTTCTTGGAAGTGCTATAGAAATTATTCTCAATTGAAGTCAGAGGAAAAATTAGGAAAACTGTTCAAATCTAGGGGGAAAAATCCCTTGGCAACAGCCACAGGTACTGAAATCAGCAGTCTTTCAAACAAACCATGTAAACAGGCTTCAGATAAGTAGTGGGATCACACTAGCTGAAGCACAGAATTTCAAGTTGTCCAGAGACATAATTTAAAGTGTTTTGGTGTATTGAGCCTGGAAAACACTTTTTCTCAGAGAGGACACTTTTCTCCTGAAAGATTTTCTCTTATTGGTGGGAAACAGAAGGAAGAAAGGACAAGACTCATTGTAGAAGTTTTCCCTTACTATGATGACCTTTTCACTGAAAACAAAAGATGGATACCTGAATTATCCTTGCCTTTTCCAATGCAGTAACAGATACTTTTCTTTCAGCATTTCAGAAAAGATGAGGACACCCAAGAGGTACCATTTCACAGGTCTAAATTTAGAAATCTAAGTGTGTTCTCATGAGTGCCTCACTCGTATTCTTGCCTTCTTCTGCATGTCAACTTTATAAGAAGCTTCTTTTGCCTCAGGAAATAATACTATATGGTATCCATAACCTTTCCATACAACTACTGGAGAAAGAAGGAGGTTTCCAGGGTGTTTTGTCATTTTCTGGAATTTCTGATTACCTATCCTCTAAATAGAGGAACTAAGGAGACACAAGATTAAACTCAACACACAAATCTGGAGAATTTAGTGGAATAAATCCCTCTCTACACATGTATATATACTGTACACACATATATATATAGCCTGTGAGTAATCAGAGACCACCTAAAATATGTATATCAGTAAACGCTATATGGAGTGAAGGAAAGAATAAAACCTTTAGCAAAAGCAGGCCATTTCCAAAAGCAAAACAGCCTGTCACACCCACGCCACCATATTTTTCCTATGAGAGAATGAGTGGCACCAAGATGGGTCAGAATGGAAAAGGCCGTCCATGGTATAGTTACGCATTAAATTGGGTATTTTCAAGGGTTTCTGTCATTCTGAAAATGTCAATCTTATCAAACATAGAGAAATATAAAAATAAATTAAAAGCATTCACAGTAATTTAAAGTAATTTACTGTCACAGTAAATCCCTGTGACAACTTGGCTTGACAATTGATACCTTGCCTGTTTTTGCAGAAATCTGTCAGTACATGTTGCCTCATGTCTATATATAAGATTATTAAAAAAGTTAATCATCACGTCCCCTACCAAAAACCATAATCTTTTATTTGTGATTGAACAATTATTTAACATGGTAATAAATCATATTATTACAGTGTATTGTGAATCTAGGTGAGAAATAAGTGGAAAGAAATGGGATTTCTCAAAGGAAGAAAACAGCCTTTAAAGGTAAAAGGAAAGAAAGAGGAGGCATCTAGGAGGACTGAGAGAATGTAACCAGCATTGTTAGTTTTCTTCCACAAGTGTCACTGATTCATTTTTCTTGTACAGTCCTCTGAAATTTACCTGTTTGTCTTGTTCTTAATCCCACAAAAGGCTGAGATTCTAAGCACAGAACTTAGAGCCACAAAATCATATACAGAGGCCCTTGTACACATATTAATTTACTTATTCAGGTAGTCCCACGAAACATTCTGACACCATTGCTGCCTCATAAACATAAATTTAGAGGGAGAAATAAATCCTTGATTTATTTAATACATGACAGATATTTTACCAGTTGGCATAAATTCTCAGAGATGAAAATTTAAAAAACAAACTGTAGAGATCAATGTACCAAAGAAAATAGTCCTGTGTTAGGTACTTTCCCTCATGTGTGTCTTTTCATGTGTGTCTTTCAATTGTGTTGTGACTCAGGGGCTCATTGTAAGGTCTTTATTGAGGCAACTGGATTCTGGAGGTCCAGTTATTTTCAGGGTTCTGTTTTAGTTTAGTTTTTATTTTATGAGAGTAGGATGTTACTAAAGAGAATATTTTTGAAAACTACTAAATCCAAGTTGTTTTGTGTACTGAATTGATGAACATTAAAAACAAACAAAAAACCCACCCAGAAATGAAAAATCTGTTTAAAAAGATAACAAGCCAAGTCTAGAAGGGAGAGAGAAGGGGAATCAACTCATAGTGCAACACCTGCTTCAGGCTAAAATGGTAAAATTCAATTCATTTTCATACAGCATCTTTCAAACAAAGATTCTCAAAACGTTTTATAGTAAGAGATAAAGTGACAAGATAACTTGTTACAGAAGAGGTTATTGCAACTCTCACACAGAGAGCAAATGAAGGAAACTGTGCAGAAACAGACTGGTCCAGGGGAAAAAAATGGATGCAAATTTAAAGGAGAGAAAAAGTAATATCCTTGCACAATATAACAGAAAGAAGAGATGAATAATAATCATACAAATGAGGATGAGCATTTATATGAGGATGGGGATGAGGATAAGAAAGTTTCTCCTTGTATAAAAACTTATATCTACTATATTTATGTAGTAATTAAATTTCAGAGCCCTGCAGGATAGGTAAATTCATTTTGCAAATGGGAAAACCTATACATAAAAAAAATGCTCTAATAAGACTCTTCTGGGAATAGAGGCAGCTTCTTACTCACAGCAGCTGGAATATGAGAACTGAGACTGCCAGTGCTTACCAAGAAAAGAATACAAAAACTGTCTCTGTTACTTTTATCAAATGCAGTACTTTCTAGTTTTTGGTAGAACAGTGTATGGCATATTTCAGCAGGTCTATGAGTGCTTGAATTCCAGTCTAAATGCTTGAATTATTTATTGAAAGAAAAATTTTTGCATCTCTGAAAATCACAAAAGTCAAGTGTCAGGGACATGGATGTGACTCATGAACCATGCCCAGTGCTGAGCTCCAGGTGCCTGACAGATGGCACCAAAACACAGAAGAAAGGGACAAGGATAGAGACTGGTCTGGGAAAGCCAACTCCCATCCAGATTTGATCACACAATAGCATACAAGGACTGTTTGATGACATAACAATTCTCTGGGATTGAAAGCAAGAGAAAAGAATGCTGGTTTTAGAAAACTATTTTCACTGAAAAGGGAACAATATAGAAACTATGGAAAGGAAAATGAACTCAAAATGTTAGAAACAAAGCATCCTTTTTAAAAAAATTGTTTATGTGCTAAATAATTTTTGACAGACAGTTAGGCACCCTGTGTCTATGCAAGCTTAGGAGATTAGCACTATGTTTGTGTACTCTCTGCCTTTGAACAACTGGGAGAGTACAAATTCTTCATTTTAGTCAGTGTACTTTCCCAGATATTCAGCTTCCGTGGTTTCACTCTATTTTTTTCCTCACTCATTCATCTTGCTTGGTACCATAAGTAATGCATACATGGCTTGAGATCTAGTAATTTGTTGGCATCAGAGACATTCTTGCAAGAGTGTTAACTTCCACACATAGTTGTGCATTTTGAAGAAAATGGATATTTCCCTGTGATTGAGAAATATGGCAGTGCTGACAGGATATTCCCAGAACACGCTATACATGGCAGGGTGCTTGGATCACACCTGCCAAGGATGCAGGCTCAGCGCCAGCATACTGTATGCACTCACAACTTACTGAACTAATATAAACCACCATCCTCATCCTGCAGTTGGCAGCCCTGGGACAGTCTGATTCACCCAGTTACAATTCAGCTGTTTGTCCATATGTCACATCCGTTATGTGACAGACCTATGGTGGCAGGAATGAGACTGATGAGAACAGAGAGGCATTGACATCTAAATATTGTCCTTAAATATATTAGTATATTAACACAACAACATTGACAATAAAGAGTTCTTATTTTATTATATATATTCTTGTTTTATTATATGTGTTCTTTTTATTATATATGCTTACTAGTAAGCA